CCTTAATTTTTAGGGACGTTTCCAGATAAAATATTTCTTAAATGTCTGTTTCTTGCTAGTGTTGACAACTTTTGCTGTTTTTATCACAGGACACAAACTGTTGGTGTTTTTTCTCAAAGCTCATCTTAAATTTAGGCAATGTTTAATTTTTTGCGTTTCACTTAGGTTTCAGTCCTCCTGAAACTGGATCCAGTTAGCTCATGCAATTAGTGATATTTTTGGACAGGATGTAAAACTAATCTGGGAAGTTTTGGCCGCCCTGGTAATTAGAAACGACCTGGCACTTATCACAAGACTAGCTCTTCGCCCTGAGGATTTAACCAAATCCAGGTACAGTAACTGCATTCTGTGTTCCTGCATTGCCCTTGCAATTCTAGTTTTTGAAATGTATCCCTTAGTTCCCTGCTTAGAAGTAGGCTTGGGAGAATTTGACAGTCACTATAGGATACCAGCAAAGGAATAAATTGGTATTTTTCTAATAATTTTACTTTAGGGTGAGGTTACCTTATATGACTGGGATTAAGTCCACATGGCTATATGAGGTTGTTTGCTGCCTCTTTTATAGGATGCACCTGGGAGGTCCAGGTACCTACCCCAATAGGGCTGAACCATAAAATGAAATGAGTCAATGGATTCTAAGCAGGGACTCAAGTGGGGCTCTGTTGAGTGGATGTACTTTTAGAGAACCTTGGGACTAGAATGTTTTTAAAGCTTTCAATGGTATATCAAGTCTTTGGGAACATATTTTATCTGTTTATACCTTTTCCTTCAGAATCCCATTTATACCCTTGCTAAGCTTGTTTGAGGATCCTATCTCTATCCTCTCCTGTAGGGATATCCTAGTTCTAGAATCCAGTCTTGCAAGTACCTATGTAACTGTTTTAACTTTAAACTCCTGAGTAGACTCTGAAAGTTAATAGGACTACTCGTGTGCTTAAAATTAAGTATCTGCATAAAGGGGGCCCTAATTATGGCTTTAAGCTCTGTGTGGAGCAGGGGTTATTAGAGGAGCACAGACAGAGAACTTGTAAAGACTACCACACCAACTTGCTTGCAGGTGTATTTCAATAGTAGCAGATGATGCCTGCAAAGCACTCTAGGATCTCTTGGGATGTTATACTTTGTAATTTTCTGTTAAAATGGCAGCACACTGCTGGTCATTTGCTCCTGGTCCCACATCTCCCCAGTGATGCTGTTGATCATCAGTTAACATTCCACTCAAGCCTGATCAGTGTTAACACATGCTGGCACATTCTCTTGAATTTCACTTGGGTCGCTCAGCAATGAAGTAGGTGCATTCAACCTGCTGAGCAGACATCACCGTTAGAACTGTAAACTCTGAAAGTTTCCAATGTGACTAGTGATTTAACAATTTGAATAAACCCATTTATTGTTTCATATGTTCAAAGGCCAGAAGGGGCCATTGTGATCATCTACTCTGACCTCTTACACAGCACAGGCCAGTGAACTTCCCCAAGATAATTCCTAGAGCAGATCTTTAAAAAATAAATAAATAAACCCATCGTGTACATTGTATTTTATGAATAAAGCCACAACTTAATGTAAAAAACAAACTTGATTTTTATTTTTTGAGACATTTTTGTAACTACACTTTTCTGATTGGCACCAGCTATTCACAGTACTGTGAGGTGCATAACATTCAGCGTTCTAAAGCTTTTCTATTTTCTAACTAGCCTGTTCATAAATATTTTCAAGGAAAGATCTTTATGCCTGGAACTGTCTGGTTCAATTGTATACAGCATAGCTAAATAACCATAATCCATGTTACTGAGAGATCTCCATAAATTCCATTTGATTGCTACCTGTGCTGTGTTTTGAAGAAAGAGAATACAGTTCAAAATGAATAGCTAAAACATGCATTCCGTATAGTATGAAAACTCTGTGTCAGAACCTGCTGTTGAAAAATGTTTTAAAATAAAATTCCCTTCTCTATGAGATTGGTCTTTTTTTTTTTTTTTTTTGCAGGGGAGGAGAAAGGTACATTTATTTATTTATATCTATATTTATATTTAAATCTTTCATCAGCCTGTTAAATTAAATTGGGGTCACTATCCCCCCATCTCTGGCTGAGCAGGTGGCGGTTAAAGATCCCATCATGCTGCTCAAAGGGGCCGGGATAAGACCAGTGTCCCAACAACCAGTGTTCCTTCTCTCATAGTCTAGTGTCCCCGAGCTGTGTGAGAATTGGCAGGTTTCAAGTGTTGGTCCATCAAGACATTTTTATCATGGAAATCAAAATCCTTCTGAACAGGTACAGCGTGGGCAGCAGGAGAGCAAGTTTCCCCTCCCCTCCCACACCCATGTGCCTTGACCCTGACCTCTACTGGTGTGACAGGTTAGTTTAGTCACCATCATGGTCCACTCACTCTTCCATCCCAAGGCTGCCAATAAGTGCGGCTAGTTGTGATGGCAGTTTTTGTGACTTGGATCTATCTGCTGGTGGAAACTAGACTGAGACTTGCCAAGTGCATTTTAC